ATGTCCAAACCACTGTCCCTCCTCTGGACATGTCCAAACCACTGTCCTTCCTCTGGACATGTCCAAACCATCTCAGTGTGTCCTCTCTAACTTTATCTCCCAGGTGTTCTACCTGTGCTGTACCTCTGATGATCTCATTCCTGATCTTCTCCATCCTTGTCTCTCCTAAGGAGAACCTCAACATCTTCATTTCTGCCACTTCCAGTTCTGTCTCCTGTCTTTTTGTCCATGTCCCTGTCTCCAGACCATACAACATAGCTGGTCTCACCACTGTCTTGTAAACTTTTCCTTTGACCTTTGCTGACACCCTTTTGTCACAAATCACTCCTGAAACTTTTCTCCATCACTCCATCCTGCCTGGACTCTCTTCTTCACCTCTTCACCACACTCCCCATGTTCCTGGACAGTGGACCCCAAGTCCTTGAAGTCCTGCACCTTTGTGACCTCTGCTCCTTGTAGCCTCACTGTTCCACCTCCTCCCTCTCATTCACACATGGACTCTGTCTTACTACGGCTGACTTCCATTCCTCTTCTTTCAAGTGCATACCTCCACCTCTCCAAGTTCTCTTCCACCTGTTCCCTGTTCTCACCACAGATCTCGATGTCATCTGCAAACATCATCGTCCACAGGTTTCCTGGGGATTTAACAAGCAGGTGAAATTAAGCTTTCGTGACCATCAAAGTGCATTTATTAAGGAAAAGTTAAAAGACACACCTTTGCTATAATCTCAAGCAAACAAATAATTGTTTTTATGTGTTAATCTTGTTAAATTTAGAAGATCTGACAAAGCGAGTCCTCTCGTGCACGCTCTTGCGGTGCCAATCCATTCTTGGCACAACACCGACACAAGACATACACTGACATGTGCTCCGTAGCAGTTGGTTTACTTTTTTCAGTCATTAAGAAAGGCAAGAAAAATCAAGACTTCATGTTTTCTGGTCTTCTGGAGGGTAACTCAGCCGCATGTACAGGAACTTGATCTCATTTTAAATGAACAATTAACTGGCTGGCTCATAACCACCACTGCACCCAGTATCCACTGGTTAACTGGTCACCATTAACTTCACACAGACTCTCCCACTGGTACATTTTCATCTTTAAATCACTTCCTGGTCTGCTGCCTTCATACATCTCCTCCTACATGTCTCTGTGTGAGTGCAGCTACAGCGTGCGCTCTCAGGACATCATTACCTGCAGTGTTCCCTCAGTGAGGACTGAACTAGACAAAAGGACCTTCTCCTACTCCGCTCCTGTTTCCTGGAACATCTTACAAAAAGACCTGAAGCTCTCGACCTTTGACCTCTCTAAGTGGCTTCAAACATCTGATGAGTTCCTGGTGAAGACCAACACAGACATGTTCCTGTTTTTAGTTTTCCACATCGCCTTATAATCTAGCTGTTTTTTTAATACCATTTTATTTTTCACTTGTTAAAAAAATCTCAATTTGTATGTGTATTTTATGATTGTCTGACGTCATCACTCTTTGTTAAATCAGGTCTCTTGTAAATGAGTGCACGAGGCTCAGTGGGATGAACCTGTGGAAGTAAAGCTTGAATTAACGCTCCAGTCCAGATCGTGGCAGTAATTCACTTCAGTTTATGAACGGAAACACAAAGGAAGAAGAAAAAATCGACAACAAAGAAAGAGTCCTACATTTCCCACAGTGCACTCGAGCCGGCAGCGGATATGACGTGAGCGCGGGGCGGAGCCGTCTTCTCTGTTGTTCCTGGCCTCCAACATGTCGGCCCCCCTGGAAGTGATCGTCAGCAGCGACTCCGGCTCGCAGCTCTGGAACTGCACCGTGTTCGACCTCCACAGCGGCTCCAGCCTGCTGTCGTACCGCGGCGGGAACTCCGCGGCCCGGAGCCTCGCGCTGCTCCGGGGGGAGTTCCTGGTGTCCGCGCAGCTGGGCAAGAACTTCATCAACGTGTGGGAGACACAGAGGAAGGTAGGAACCGAACCCGCGCACCGCCGGCTCTTTATCCACGTCGGTTTATTTCTAAAGCTCCGAGTCACAGCACGAGTCTGAACACAAACTTTCAAATATAAAATAATAATTTAACACAAACATTCAAATATAAAATAATAATTGAACAGAAACATTCAAATATAAAATAATAATTGAACAGAAACATTCAAATATAAAATAATAATTTAACAGAAACATTCATCTATAAAATAATAATTTAACACAAACATTCACATATAAAATAATAATTTAACACAAACATTCAAATATAAAATAATAATTTAACAGAAACATTCATGTATAAAATAATAATTTAACAGAAACATTCATCTATAAAATAATAATTGAACAGAAACATTCACATATAAAATAATAATTTAACAAACATTCATGTATAAAATAATAATTTAACACAAACATTCATGTATAAAATAATAATCTAACACAAACATTCATGTATAAAATAATAATTTAACACAAACATTCAAATATAAAATAATAATTTAACAGAAACATTCAAATATAAAATAATTAACAGAAACATTCAAATATAAAATAATAATTTAACACAAACATTCAAATATAAAATAATAATCTAACACAAACATTCAAATATAAAATAATAATTTAACACAAACATTCAAATATAAAATAATTATTTAACACAAACATTCATGTATAAAATAATAATTGAACAGAAACATTCATGTATAAAATAATAATTTAACAGAAACATTCATGTATAAAATAATAATTAACATTATTTATCTGAGGAGCAGCTTTGAGTTTAACTCCATCACTGAACTCTCATCTTGAACAAGCATGAAGGCGACAGTGGAAAGAAAAACTCCCTCATGAGGAAGAAACCTTTAGCAGAACCAGGATCAGGACAAGAGGACCATCTGCTTCGACCGGCTGGGTTTGGTAGGAATAGATACACAATGGCAGGTCAAGAATCACATGTTAAGATAGAAATAGTATCAAATGAAAACTATTCAATTTTAACAATTCATTTAAGGAAATGAGGTCAGTTTGTCCTCTAGTAGTCTAAGTCTATAGCAGCATAACAAGCCTAACTATAGGATTTATATAAAAGGAAAGTCTTAATCCCAGTCTTAAAACTGGACAATGTGTCAGCCTCATGGACAGAAACTGGAAGTTGGTTCCACAAGAGAGGAGCCTGAGAACTGGAAGATCTTCCTCCCATTCTGCTGCTGGAAACTCTAGGAACCACAAGTAAACCTGCAGCCTCCTTCTTTTCATTTACCCTTTATTTATCCAGGGAGTCTCATTGAGCCACGAGAACTCTTTTTCAAGAGAGACCTGTTTAGGAGCAGATGGTGGAGGTTGGGGCCTTGCTCAGGGGCCCAGAGTGGGGTCAATGAGGGTGGAGGCAGGTGTGGGTGTTTCACCTTTTGCACCCACATTTTGATGTTGACTGCACCGGGATTTGATCCTGTGACTTTCTGATCATAAGCACATCTTCTAACCTCTGCACCACCACTCCCCCAAAGTCTGAGAGCAAAGTGCTCTGTTAGTAAAATATGGAACAATAAGATCTGTAATATAAGATGGAGCTAGGTTGTTGAGAGCTTTGTAGGTTAGAAGTAAGATTTTGAATTCTATTCTGGATTTGACAGGGAGCCAATGGAGAGAAGCTAAAACTGGAGAGAGATGATCTCTCCCAGTAACTCCAGTTAAGACTCTGGCAGCAGCATTTTGGATTCAAGGTTTTTTATTGTCATTTGCATCACATGTGGTACACGAGGTGGAATGAAACTATGTACACAGGGTCCCAGTTACATCCAACAAAAATACAAATGGTAAATAAAAAAGTAAAAAGATCCAAGACATGAACTAAGAAATAAACTAAACTAAGAATACACTAAGCACTAATCGTACAAAAGAATGTGGCAAACAACAGCACGAACATGAGTCTGTGTGAGCAGATGAGCATGAACACATCAACATGAAACGGATCAGCAGCATGAGATCAGCAGCACATATCAACGATCAAGTGGTGTTCCAGCGATTTTTTCACAGTAATTTTGGATCAACCGAAGACTTTGTAAACAAATATTTGGACACCCAGATAACAAACCATTACAATATTTATCTAGAAGGGAAGTACAGAACCAGATCTGATTTAGATATTCAGAATTTTTAAAGTTTGCGCCGGTTTCCAGGTAGGAGTTGAGGTTCTGATCCAAACCTGAGAGTCTGTCAGAGACCGGGAGACCCGCTGAGGTGTTCGGCTCGGAACACAGCAACCGGACCGGGTCCATGTTCTATTAATCCCGACTTGTTATGATGGTTTCAGATCAGAGTAATAGAAATAAGAAGTTTCAGGAAGCTGCAGTGTGAACGCCCAACACCTGCTCGGTTCTGGTGACACCTTGAGCTGTTTGTTCTGGAGACTCGAGGCTTTTCGTTAGTTCAGCTCAAACACTGGGCAACAGACGGCCCGAGGGCCAGAGGTGGCCCTTGAACAGTCTCCATCCGGCCCCCAATGTCCCCAATTAAAAATATAGAACTTTAGATGAAAACGTGCATTTTCAAATGAAACTTACAGAAATCTCATTTAAACAATAACATTATAAAAACTTTTAGATTAAGACTTAGACTGGCCTAAACTTTGTTTTGGGGACGTTGTTGACTTTCCTCAACTGAACTGAACCTTAAAGACTCAACAAAAACAAATCTGTAATTTTTTTTTGCATGTTTGAAGCTAAGAGACATTTGACAGAAAGCACGTCTCATGTTTTATGTCTCATGTCTTGTGTCTCATGTCTTGTCTCATATCTTATATGTCTTGTGTCTCGTGTCTTGTGTCTCATGTCTTGTCTCATATCTTATATGTTTCATGTCT